AGACCATCAGTGCAAAATATTCATGCATTTGTAAAGCAGGAAATCACATTCCTGCTCCCCAGAGGATCCAACATTTAGACTTTAATGACCCCGTAAGACTCCACGAATAGTTTTTATGCTCGGTTTCATTTGTTTGGTGAGGACATGGATGGTTTTAGGCCTCGGGTTTGCGTTTTGACCCTACCATGCTGGTCTTTGGAACTTGCATAGAAACCTTCATATAAAAGATTTACTGGCTAAGTTTGAACATGGAGGTCTGTGGGGACTGACTCGCTGGAGCCTCCAACAGTGTGGCTGCTGTGCGAGGTTACACCTGTTTAATACCTGAGGCTAAAGCACACCTCAGGTGTGTGAGGTAATGAGGAACAGCCGTCTGCAGAGTGTCATTAAATCTGCTTCTATTTGAATATTCACTGGATTTTTATCTCTTTTGGCTTCTCGGCAGCTTTTGTGCACTAACTGCTGGTGGGCAGTCGAGGGAGTTAAACAGGGTCAAAGTTCACTCAACCAGGAAAACTTCATTCATTTCCTGCTGGAATTCTGCCAACACACACACACACGCTGACATGCTTTCGGTTTCATTGTTTGTGACAGTCGGGACAAAAGCCCAGCGAGGCACAGCAGAGCAGAGCCGTGGCTCTGTTGGCCTGTTCCTCTCACATCCATCCACACCTGTCAGTCAGTGCACCTGTCAGTCAGCCGGAGTGGGCGGGGTCAGATGAGCTGTAGTTTGTCTACCTTTGAACCACTGCTCCTGTTATAATCAAAAGTCGAGGTCTCTGATTGGCCCGTCGTACACTCACAAATCCTCGCTGTGATTTTGCTCAAAGAGCCACAGACGTCGTGTTTGATCAGGAGCAGCTAGAGCGTGCAGCCTTTCACAGCACGCATCCTGCACGACAGGAGGGGGAAAAGCCAGCGTCGTGCTGGTGATGCATGCTGACGGTTGATGCAAACGTTAAAAAAATCCTAATCAAATTTCACCTGCTAAGACAAACCTTACTTACTGTTTCTGAAAGCTCAGGCAGCTTTCATCTCAAACAACCGTTATGTCAGACGGATCATCAATCACACTCTGCAGGTTTTCTAGGTTGGGTCAAATATTTTCCACCGTTGGTTGTGTTGCAACCACATAGACTGTCTGTAAAAGATGGATGTAGCCACCTGTTGGCATGAGGATGTTTCAAAGCCTTGCTGCTGGACCGCCATGTTGGTTTTTTGAAGTGACCGTATTTGACCAGCAGGAACGATCAAACTTCCTGCATCCATGAACTTTACAGGTAACGACATGCACCTGTCAGTCAAAGCAGCCACGCCCCTTAACTAAAATCCAGATAGAGCTGACACGAAGGACTAAACCGTCCACGGGCCAAACAGTTTCTGTATCAGGCGTTAAACATGTAAAACTTTAACATGGGAGTCTACGGGGCCTCTGCTGGACATCAGAGGAACTGCAGTTTTCACACTTACCTAAACTATCACCTCGATTTCATAAGCACAAAGGTTTGTGTGGTTTTGAGTGATTTTCTGCTGGTTTTGCTTTGTTTTGGGGAATTTAGTCTCCTTTTGTGTCTTTGTAGCTTTGTGTGATTGTGTGACTCGTGACAGAGTTTATTGACTTGTTGTTTTAGGCTTTTTCGTGCCTCTTGGTCTTTGTGCATCACTTTTTAGTGTTTTCATGTCTCTTTTTGTTCATTTTGTGTCCCTGAGATATTTAGTCCCACATATTCATTTGTGGCTTTTTAAAACCCTTTTTGTAGTTTTGAATCCACGTTAGTGGTTTTTATGTCATCTTGAGTCATTTCCTGGTGATGTTTCTCTATTAGTGTTGTCTAGTTTTGTGTGGTTTTAGTAACTGTTTGTGATTTTTGAGTCATTTTGTGGAGGTTTTCTGCTTCTTTGTGATTTTGTTAGTCATTGTTTTGTTGCTTTTCCTGTAACTGTGTTGGCAGGTGAAAAAGTGGTGAAATGACACCTACGAGTTCCCTGTGACTGTTGCGGCATGCAGCCTATTGTTTAGTCTGTCATCCAAGTACTCGCCCACGTGTCGCTTGTCACCGCATACTCAACATACCTGTGCTTTCATTTCCCAGCCTGGAAAAAAACAAATCTCAGAGAGCAACAGACGAAGAAAGGGCGAGGATTATGGGAAATGGAGATCGTTGGCTGGCTCGATGCCCCAATGAAACCATTTTTATTTCAATGGCACGCGTCTCAGAAAGCACATCCTGTAAATAACAGAATGAAAATTTGCTAGCTTTTTGTTCTTGTAAGGTAATGCTGGAGTTGGACAGGCTCAGGATGGGTGTAAAATATATATTACAGAGTGAGTCGGTACTATAAGTACATGATAAATCTATAAATCTACAACATAAGCTTGTAAGAGTGGAAACGATGACACACAGTCATCAGCCAGAAAGCATCTAATGAATATTCATCCTTTCCGACTTTAACGGGACTGTGATGAAGGAGCTGACGCTTTCCCACAAACTTCTATCCTCCCGAGAACCGAAGAAAAAAACTGTATTAGAGGTGAACTGTTGTTGTGGTTTCCTTCCTCTTTGGAGCTAACAGAGGCCCAAACACATGAGATATCCCTGAAAGCCCAGGATGTTAGCAGGGCAGCTCAAATAAGTCCACAGATATGCCAAAAACAAATGTCCATCACAGAGGACATGGATGAACAGGCTGGGTCTCAGGAGGCTGTGCAACCATGAGTGTTTTTGCACCCAGACGAGTCGCCCCCTGCTGGCCATTTAATTGCATCATTATTCTACAAGTGGAGGAAATGGTCTGAGCTAAATACACAGAGGGAAAAGGACTGGATCTGCATGGATCTATGCAGTGATGGTACGCATGTTCTAGCAGGCATATGTCTACGTTTTATATGGATTGTTTTAAGTTCTTGCAGTCCCTGTTTAGAAAGTAATGACTGGCTGAGAGTGACGTGAAAACGCTGCACACAGTGCAGTTGTGCCGCAGGTGCAATAAACCCAGCCGTAGAGCTGAGTGGGCACCAGTGCAGGACCGATGTGCTTTCTGAATTTGCTGGGAGCCGAGGAAGGCTTTGACACATCGCTCCGACGATGGAGGAAGCACTGAAGCAGAAGTGTGATTACTGAGTCTGTTGGGCGAGTACGTCACTGGTAAGGATAAAGCCTTGGACTGTGTTTCATCATTAATATGATCATGTCGGGGTTTTATTCCCGAACCTGGCTGCAGTGCTCCTGAGTGACACCGGGCGGTTTTAGTGAGAACGTCTCTGCCAAGACAAGTTTAACCAAACCGACGCATCGGGCATGTGACGGGACAGGATTTATGGTTCGTGCATATCCTGCAGTTCACACATTTTGACAGACAGAAAGCAACAACTGATAAACAGAACTGATAAGTCAATTTAAGTGTTGGCAGGAAAGACTGAAAACTCTCTGATAACCGGCCAAAAAAGACTTAACTGTGTCCAAGTCCGGAGGGAGAAGCTGAATTACTTCTGATAAACCATCAGAGCGCTGCACTGCTGGTAAGAGCATCTAAATGCGCCACAAACAAACACACTTAAAGCTGCTTTGGGGCCACTAGGGGCAGCAGGACCCTCTGTGAAGCTCCACGTGTTATCGATTTATCTTTGATAAGCTTTTTACCCACTTGCTCAGATGCACTCCTTCAGGTCTGTCTGCTGTTCTAATATGTTCCGAGGAAAACCCCACACCCTCACACGTCTGATTACTGTACTTTCCCTGCAATCGCTTCAGCTGACAGTTGAAACTCGGCTCTCTTTCATTTTGAACACGACTGATTCGGTCACTTTTCCTGTGAGTGCACCGTCAGGTCTTCTAAGAATATTGCTGGCCGTGTCTCTCTGGTGAGCCTTTCACTTCTCCTTCACGACTTGAACTCGGATGTTAAAAGCTCAACAAACAGGAGAAAAAGATCTGTCTGAAAGTCAGAACTCGCTCAGAGGACGAGTTTAAACTCAAAGATCACCTGTGGCAGCAGCCGCCCCGCGGCTTCTCCTCAGTAACGTATCAGCACCATCTTCACTCCTCACGTCCTCTAATCATCAAGCTCAAAATCAAGTTATAGAGTTTTCAATCAGGGGAGATGCACAGGGCCAGGTGAGGTCATGCGTTTTTTTTAAGTTCTGTTTCGACTTTCAGACACTTTTCTTCGAGTTTTGAGTCATTTTGGAAAATAAACAGTGAAAAAAAGATTAAATATCTAAAGTTAAAATTCTAAATATTACATGAAATTCAAATCTGATTACAGTTACATTACAGGGTGTCATAAAATGTATGTAATACTTCTCACACAGTCTCAGCGTGCACTCTAAAGACACCTGAATCTGCAGACTCATGACCTGCATGAGCAGAAAGTCCAACCACTGTGAGCGCTCTTGCTGTGCACATATATGTGGAAACTGCTCCATCTAGTGTTCATTAATGGACCGACGTGTTTATTCGGTTTGAAGATCAGAGCAGCCGTTTCCCTCAAAGCTCTGAAGCAGCTGTCACAGTTAGTTTGGATCGGTGTGTAGGGCCGGACCGACTCCTTCCTGCAGACTCAGCCTCACAGTCTTTCTCTCCATCACACTTTACAGACTTGCTTCTATTTGATTTCATGACACAAAAATGCCACCAACATTATCAGCCTCTCTGAGCACATCTGAGCAGCGTCTGCTACTCGTCACCATTTGTACTCATTGTCTTCAGGGTCCTGGTTAGGACAGAAGTCTTTGTCTGGAGGTGGTTTCCCAGATTATGTTTTTGTGACAGCCAAACAAAAGCCTACGAGATAACTATTTCTTCTTGCTGTACATATCAGTGCTTTGTGTGCAACCCCCCTTAAGGAAATACTTGTAAACGGTTTACTCAAACAGAGTTCGGGGGGGGGGCTGTGTGGATGTGGGAGGGGAGGTGTGGGTCAAGCCGTCACATATCTGTGAAATAATCCTCAATCGTTCAAACTGAATTTGCTCTTTATCTCCTGCAGCAGTTATCTCTCAGAGCACAGACGTACGGTGGATGTGTTTATGGACCTCCCACTGATCAGAGTGTGGTTCTTGGCGAGCGGTGATTGGCTGGTCTGTATGTCAGCAGTGGGCGCGAGCGTACACCTCGGTCAGAGCCGAGCGCAGAGATAAATCCATCGGGCTACAACTGCAGCAACTGAAAGTCTGGGTTTACGCAGCGACACCGGCAGCAGGATGGGCTCCAGCAGCTCCAGCAGGAACAAAATCCCCAACGCCCAGGAGCTCATGCACCAAACCGGATGTGAGTGTTTCCTGCTTTGAAGCATCTGAAGCAAGTTTGAGGAAAACTAGAGAGGAGAGAACAGACGAGCCTGGGATAAAGTTTACAGCAGTCAAAAGTCTTTAATATCTCAGGTTTTTACAACATGTATGTACAAGCACACATCGACAGGCAGCTGGGAGACATTAAACACAGCTGACCGAGGCAGGTTTCCAGCTGTGATCAGCCTGTAATTACAAGCACAGAATCTTATAGACTCAGATTTTATTCATAACTGAACATAAAAACATAAATGTTGAAACTGTGAACATGAACCATGGTGATAAAAATATGAGCTCCTTGTGAACATGATGCAGCGACACGTCTGTAAAAGTAGGACAGGTCCATGTTTGCGCTCTAACACCAGTCTGATGGAGGATTCCAGCTGCTCAGCAGTCCTGGCTCTGCTTCGTCCTCTTGCTGCTTTCATGATGCTCCAGATGTTGTCAGCTGGTCAGAGGTCTGGACTGCAGGCTCCTCTGCTCCTCTGAAGCCGTGAGGCTGTTATAGAAGCAGTCTGCGGTTCATCCGGCTCAAACACAAAGGCCTTCCTGAGAAACATCTGCATGGAGCAGATGTTGCTCTAACAACACTTTACACCTTTCAGCGCTTATGGAGCCTTTCCAGATGTGCCAGCTGACGCCCACGTACCTGAGTCCTGTCGCTGTCCTCGTCCATGCCTTTGTGTACCATCTTCTGAGCAGGATAATGCATCATGTCATAAATTCAAATCATCTCAAACTTGAACATCACGCTGAAGTACCAGCGAGGTGTACCCCTAACAACGAGCTGAACTTCAGGATGTGAACATTTTTCTTCTTTTAACCGTAAATTTAAGAAGACAATCGTTTCAGAGGCTCTAAAGGTGCTGATGGTAAAATCTGCAGCTTCATTAAAAGCTCAGCGGGGTTACGATTCACCTGCCCAGTTGAAGCTCTCTCCAAAGTGCTGAATTCAGACCAGTATTTACTGTAATGTTAAATGTGTGAGCATGTGTGCCATACACCTCATACATATATTACACACTTAAATGTCTCTACACAGTCTGTTTGTTTGAACCACAAAATCAGTCATTAAATGTCAGAGTTTGGCTCAATGTCAATGCTGGGTGTGTGCGTGTACTCGTATTTCTCCCATCGTGGGGTCTTGATTTCTTTATTGGGAAAACCCCAAAACAGTTATTGTCAATAGGAAATGTGTGTGTGTGTGGGGGGGGGGGGGGGGGGGGGGACTCAACATCACTTTCAGCTTTCATGTGAGACTGTAACGGCGACGGTGTGAGTTGTTGCTGTGTCCCGTGGGTGAGCTCATCGTCGGCTGTTTGTGTGCGTTTCCGTGGCAACACCCTGAACTGTCCTCGCTGATAAGGACACTGTGGGCAGATAAACACGACTGTGCTCGATGGCTGATTAAGCCCAGATGAAACATTAGTTTTTCGTAATAAGAAATATAATTACATATAATTATTCTTTCTTTTACTTTGGGACCATAAGCTATTCGTTTTTGATCCTTTCTTTTTGGTTTCCTTTATTTGAATTTCTTCTCCTTTAATTTTGATGTCACAGGATTTCTGCTCCAACCTGTTCGACCCATTTGAGCGATTACATAATATATTTAATATATGCACACCCTGGATACTGCAAACAAACCTCTGGTGTATTTGAGGTATCGACATACAGCAAGTATTTGCAAAGACTGACTGAGCTGTTAATGTTTACTCTGAGTAAAGAACAAATCGTGTCTGTTTCAGTCTCGTCTGCTCATCTCCTCCGTCTGCACGACAGGTTTGAGAGTCTGGACAGAGACAACAGAGGATACCTCAGGTGTGTGGACGCACTGCTCACAATCATCATCCAGCTTAATAACAATGATGTTTTTATAGGGTTTGTTTGTTTCCCCAAAACACATCCCAGAATGAAATAAGCCTGAAGATGAGTTTATTTAGTTTTATCCGTCTGCTGCAGCAGCGCTCCCCCCAATCTCACAGTCACGGGAAAACATGAAGAAACAGTCATTCAAGATACTTCAAACACTTAACTCGAAACAACACAAAACAAAACAACTTTGCAAAGTTCCCAAAGATGTTTCTAGACAACCTGCCGAAACGCTGTGTGACCTGGTCAAAGACCAGACATAAACTTCATCAGGTCACTCTGAGAAACAGGAAGCTGGAGGACTAGACTCTGATCCAAACCAGTTCAACACCTTCATCTTCAGGATCTCTTTCCCTGATGTGTCCAAACATCAGCGGTCACACAAAGTGTCAACAGGATGAATTCAGAGTCACTGTTGTGACTGTGTCAGGTAACTCTGTAATGTCTGCTGGCTCCAAAGCCTGAACGCCAACCCGTTTGGGATGAAGACAGAGTTATACTTTCATTTCATTTTGGCTTTTTGTTCAGCTTCAGGTTTTTCCAGAGCAGTTTTTTCCTTTCAGTTTAGATTTCATTGTTTCAAAATGTTTACTTTTAGTTTTTAGTGTTATTAATGTTAGTTTTAGTCTTTTTAAGTAATAATGTAATGAGGGCATACGTGAGAGGCATGATTTAGGAAAATCGGTCCAGAAAATATAAAACTATACAACCTTTGGAAAGCAGCGACTCACAGTCCTGAGGACATTCAGCGTCCGTCAAAGTCTCATCACACAAACAGTGATAGCATTTAATCAAAGTCTAAAACTTCTTCTCTATCAGAAGTTTCGTTTCTAAGTTCATGAAATCCTTTCAGGAAGTGTGTTTACGTCTAAAATGTTTTTTCACATCTAGTTTTGCTCTTTAGTTAAGTTTGAGTTAACTATAATAACCCTGCTTTAATATGACCGCTCTTAAACATCATGCAGGCTGAAAGTGAAACCTTTGCAGAAAAACAAAGAGGTCGTGTTTCTTTATAAAAATCTAAAGATTTAAAACAAAGCCTGTGAGACTCTGAGGGACGTCAGTGTCCCAGAGCCTCTGACTGTCTGTCTCCTTCTGTGTCGCAGCCCTGACGACTTTGAAGTGCTCGGAGGTTTGGCCATGAACCCCATCGGAGGCAGAATCATAGAAGCCTTTTTCTCCTCGGGGTACGACAGCCTGCTGTTATCACAGGAATCACTTGTTTCTGCACTGACAGAGCAAGGACTGTCACATCAACTCATTTGAGTTGCAGAGGTCTAGACTCAGGCACTGGTCAGGTGACACTGTGAAGGGTAAACAGGAAGTATTTCTCTCCAGACAGGATACCGTGGACTTTTCCTCCTTTGTCCGGATTCTGGCTCATTTCCGTCCAACTGACAGAAACCGAAACAAAGAAGGAACACAGCAAGAGCTCCCCAGCAGCAGGACCAGGAAGCTCAAATGTGAGTCCAGGTCACTTTGTTCTGTCTTTTATTTTATCTTTGCGTACAATAAAGAAAATAATGTAGAAGCTGCTCAGTTGCCTTTCAGCTGTACGATCTGGACCGAGATGGGAAGATTTCCAGAGAGGAGCTTCTTCAGGTCTGTGTCCACTTCTTTGAGAGTTTTCATTTCTTTCATCGCTGACAAGTTCATAGTTCCTTCCCATGCACAGAGACTCTCCTGTGCAGTCTGTCTTTGGTGTGTGGGGCTGTCAGTCAGGTCTTCATTGTTTGCACAAATTACACACCTGCAACCAGGACGCAGGAGCTCATACTCACATTTGGCTAAGATCAGGGGTTTTTGCATGGCTGCAGAATGGAGGGAAGTGAGAGAAGAATTTTTATTTAGCTGAAAGAAAACATTACCGAGCCCCTCCTACAGTATAAAGCTAGCCCACTGGGGTGATTATTATTTTAGAAAAGAAGAAGTAGCAGGTACTTTGGCTGATCCCTTATTTCCGAATCAGAAAAATAATCGTGTGTCATCTGCATAGAAGGGTCCACCGCTCACATGTTCTTTAGTTCTGCAGAAAAACGGGTCTCAGAGAGGATTTCGATCAGCATCGTTGGTACATTATTAATACTTGTGTCCTGCGTCCTTCAGGTTCTGCGGGCGATGCTGGGGCTGCAGGTGACGGAGGAGCAGCTGCAGAGCATAGCTGAGCGAGCCATTCAGGAGGCCGACCTCGACAAAGATGATGCCATCTCCTTTGACGAGTTCAAAAAGGTGAGACTCTTACCTGCTTCATGCTGCATCTGATCAAAAATCTGGGCTCTAATTCACACAAATACAATAATAAATTTATAAAATATACTGTGTGTGGTGGCTCAAACACCTCTCAAAGCTCACACATGATTTAGGACCAGAATTTATTTCTGTCTGAGAAACAGAAGAAGAAGAAGAAGGAGGAGGAGGAGGAGGAGGAGGAGGAGGAGGAGGGACTTTCTTCAAATCAAATTTATTTAAAAAATTATTGTTGTGTTCATTTGTTTTTCAGTCACTGGAGAAAATGGACATTGATACCAAGATGAGCGTCAGCTTCCTGAAATAAAGACACAACCTGCTAAGAATTGACGTCAGCACAAAGATCCCAGCAGGAAACATCTGCAGGTTGAGATCAGCTCTCAAACCAAACTGGAGATCTGGTGGATAGACTGATGTTACTGCTGTGCACGCTGGGCTGCAGCTGGATTTGTAGTGTTCATCAGCGTTCCCGTGAGCCAGCACGCACACAAGCAGCACAGTGCAGTCACGCACCTGAACACACCTGCGACATGTTAACAGTCTTAAAAAGGGAAATAATAAAGTTTTATTCAAACCTTTTAATGGATCGTTTTATTTAACGTTTAATTAATGTCTGTTCATCAGTGATGTCATGAATCTAAAGGCTGAATTTGTCAGTAGGTTTCTAGCTTTGTGTGCATTAATAAACATCTTTATTCTCTCAGTTTCATTTCACCACACGTGTTTCTTTCTCTGCAACGTCACATTTGGAAACTGCACACAGATCTGTCAGCATGATTAGTTAGATGATAACCTTTCCTCTCTTTAATATCCTAAAAAAGGTAAACTGAAGTTAACTCTAGAAAAGTAATAATGTGAAATTAATTCAAACATACAGGTAAATGTGATTAATAAAAGTCAAATGTAAATGAATAAATAAATTGATCTGTTGTGAAGTTCTGAGAGCGATTCCCTGTGGCGCCCTCTCTTGGACACACTTGGTACTGCTTGGCCACACAGCTTCAGGAGACCTTTTATTTGCAGTGTGATTCTGAGGCGATTCCATGTTTCAGAAAACAGCACGAGCCTAACAAAGGACGGTGGAGGTCGGTCGGTTCAGACGTAAGCCTTGGAGCCGCTGGCGTCTGAGGCCGGAGCTGCTCTGTAGATGCTCCGACCGGTGGTGGAGTAGTAAGAAAACTGCCTGCAGGGGAGCAGATGAAGGTTAGAGGGCGGAGCAACAGCGATGTACATGAAACAGATTCGCTCACCAACTTTTTACATACTTTATATAATCAGATTTGTGGTCGTCAGCTCGTCTGTTACCTAAAGTGCTCTCACCTGCACAAAAGCTTCACTAATATGCAAAACCGTCAGTTACTCAACACTCTTTGCAGCGTTTCATTTTCTTTCTTTTTCATTCTTCTTTATGACAACGTCTGTACAATGAATCCTGCAGTTCCTCTAACGTCCACCAGAGGCTTCAGCAGGGAGTCCCATAGACTCCCGTGTTAAAATGACCAACTTTACTTTAGAAATGAGCATCTTTACAAACTTAGAAGTCATTACTGAGCATTAAATAAGGAGACGGTGATGGGTGTGTATGTTTACCGAGCAGGTGGGCTGGAGGGAGTAGTCTTACTGGAGCAGCAAAGCATAGATCCTCCCAGTATGGCCAGACCAGCGGCTGCCCAGCCCAGATACAGACCAGTACCCAGCTCGAACCTGCAGCACAAACTCTAAAGATTCAGCAGCAGGAACACACACACACACACACACACACACACACACACACACACACACACACACTGCTGCTCACCGGACTCCTCCGTAGAGCGGGTCGTAGAAGTCGTTGATGACTCTGGCAGCGTACCAGGACACGGCGATCAGAGTGAAGAGACCTGAAGAAAAACACAGAAGCTCAGGATTCAGTTTCCAGCTGCTCGAGCTCCGGTGTCTCCACAGATCCCAGAACTCTGCAAAAGCCTCGTTTTAATCTGAATATTTTTTAGATGTTTGTTTTCAGTTAAATGAGGAATAAAGATGATTCCATCCTGAATACTGATGTGCACATGCAGCGATATCTGTTCTCTAAATATCACCTTTTCTTCTTCCACAAAGAAACACTCCCAGTGAAGTTCTGATCATAGCACAAACACAGACTGTATGTCGTCATCATTTACATGTTCTGTCTACGTCGACATTTCCTGTACGACAGCCATAATTTGAAACAAGTGAAATTGCAGCTTCCAGTTTGTGCAGGTTGAACTGCAGGAAGGAGAAACAAAACGAAAACGCTGCTTTTTTACAGGTTTGGGGTTTGTTTCTGCTCCAGTCCCGGAGCCTCGTACCCGACAGGATGAAGAGGATCCCTCCGCTCAGGACGATCTTGGCTTTGACCTGCTCGGGCGTTCTGCCGAGTTTGGTGCATTTGAGTCCCAGCACGGAGACGACGATGGAGGTCAGACCGAAGAGCAGGGACAGGATCATCAGAGCCCTGCAGGTCTGCAGGTGAGCTGCAAAGCATCATTACAGGTAAATGAACATCTTCCTCGTCGCACAGCTTTACAGTTTTTGCAGATGTATTTTTCCCTTTTTATAAACCCAGTTTATCTTGTGGGAACAAGCCATCATCTAGTTCCCACAACATTAAGCAACATTGTCCTCATGGGACTCATTAAAGTTCATGAACAAGCTGTTACTTTGTTTGGGCAGCAAAAGATAAGAACTCGCTATAACTAAGATATCTGACCTCTCTTATTTCTGTCTCAGCTCTCAGGCAGAAACAGAGATGAGTTTTTTTCCAAAACTAATGCTCTCATCAATGAATGAAAAATAATTGTCCTTGCTGTGGACCTTTTCCTGCGCTCCGACTGAGCCGTCATCATAACTCCATAATAGCTGCTGATGATTACGAAGCAGCCGTTCTCACCCGACAGTCCCAGCACCGTCTTGAACTTGCTGCACTGGATGGACCCCATCGAGGTGGCAGCACAGCTCATCCACAGGCCCTCGAACTGCCACTGGCTGGTGGTAACCGACTCCGACTGACTCCTCATCTTCCACACCTGGTTGGAGGTACAGCTGGACTGCAGACACCAGGACACCACGCCCAGAAACAGACCCACAATCTGCAGGCCCACCGCCATTCTGCTCAGCGTCTCCGCACACACCTGGAACACCTGGAACACCTGGAAACAGATGATTTTGAAGAAGGAGGAGGCACGAGCTGTGGAGTTTGTGGAGTTCCTCAGGGCTCTGCTCTCGGGCCGTGTGACATCTGACACCTCCATGAAGTATCAGTGACTGAAATTAAGCTGAATTTAAGCTCACCAATCAACGTAGTATTAAATGTTGTGTTTAATCTTATTTTTTACTTCTTCAAGAACTCAGATAATATTCTGAGCTGATACTAAAGATATATGTGTATTTTTTCTATTTTCGTTAACAGAACATAACACAGGAAAACAGCACTCGGATCAGTGACGTGGACCAAAGTCCAAAGAGCAGCTTTGACTTCTGTGTTTACAGAGTTTACTCTGAGCTGCCTGCAGCACAGAGAGTAAATCACCGCTGATGGACGTGGTGCACGAGCTCACTGTGGGAAGATCCCAGCCAGTTTGTAAAACACAAACTCAAATGCAGGCGGTCGACTCAAAGTCAACTACGACATCTCGGTGTGACTCCAAACACGTGTAACAGGATTTCATCAGTGATTATAGTAAAAGTATCACTGTTGGGACACTCGCTGGCCACTTTATTATGTACAGCCTGCTAGTACAGGTCGGACACATTTTTCCTTCAGAACTGTTCTCGCTCTTCGTGTCTCAGATTCAACGAGGTGCTGGAAACATTCCTCGGGGATTTTACATCCACGATGTGAATCTCCCATTTCCCACACCCCAAAGGTGCTCTGCTGGATTGGGATGTGGTGACTGTAGAGGCCATTTGAGCTAAAGAAACTAATTTCAGGGAGATGAACAAAGAGGACGTATCCGTCCCAGCAGAGTGTGCATCCACACTATCGTGTTTCATTTGAAAATAGGAACTATCTGCCACAGAGGAGACATGGAGCTCAGTTTCACCCGTACAGATCTGTCGAAACGCACACGTCACCTGAGCCAGTTGTTAAAGGCTAAAGTGCAGCTAAAGGTTTGACGGCTGGAGTCTGATGGATCGGTTCTTACCGTCGGCACAGGTTTGGAGGTTGCAGAAAGGCCTTCTCCAGGGTTTGTGTCTCTGCAGGCGTCGCTCAGGTTGTGTCTGCGATGTGAAGCGCGGCGGTTTGAAGCGGGTCTGATCTTCTGAGGTCTGCTGCTGTTCAGGGTCGATGAACTCTGGGAAAGGCCAAACCGTCTCTAAACACACATCAGTATCGACATTCAGGAATCCCAGAGTTTCACCCCCCACCGTTTGTGATGAGCTGGTTTCAGCCGTCAAAGATAAAGCCCTGCTTCCATGCAGGGGTGGGACAAAATATAAGAAGGAAACCTGTGGTTTAAAAGTCCTTCAGAGCCTTTTTGATAAACTGAAAACAGCAGGTTTCCTATCCTGCTGCAGCAGCTCTTCTCTCTGTAAGGCTTTGACATACAAGAGGACCAACAACAGGTGATCTTTTATCTGGGAAGTCCGTCCTTGTTTTAGTAAGACGACTGCAAACAAGCTGCGGTGATTTTAACGGCAAATGTTCCCTCAGGAACCGGAGGGTTCGCACACCTCGCACCTCCTTCGTTTGAAAAGCTCCAGATGTTTTCAGCTGCTGACAGATGTGAAGTTTAATACTCCGATTCTCTGGATGTGGGAATATGTTGTTTGTATGAAATAAGAACCTCTGTGCTGCTCTAAATCCCTCACAGATCATTCAGCATCACCGAGGTCTCACAGATGTGCACACTCATGTCTGATCTCAGTTGTGAATCAGTTAAAAGGTTTGAACGAGTGCATTTTATTAAAGAGACATTGAAACAGTGCGAGTCTCTGAGCGAGGGTCGGCCTTTTCTTTAGTTTGAGGTGTGCAGTGTTCATATCTGTCTCGTTCATCGATTTCAAAAACCAAAATACTGTGTCAGAAGCTCTGGTGTGCTGCGCTTCAGCTGCTCTCCTCTCTGCGTGGTTGGTTTGTAACAAAGAATGAGTGTGAAGCTCTGCCGTCATTATCAGACCGCTGCCACACGACTGTGGGAACAGGTCCCTACAGCTGAACAAAGACTGCATCAAGACAACGGCTATGAAGGAGCTGTTAGTATTTTGTTTACTTGTTGATGTTGGTGCTGCATTGTTTTTGGTCCCTTTGTTTTAAACTTTGAATAAATTTCAGAAAATCAGGTTTTGATCAGTTTATTTTTCCACAACACAAATATCATCGAGTCTATTTTAAGAAAGTTAAACCCACGAGCATCACAGGGCTTTATTAAAGCTGTGAGCCAATCGCAGCAGGCGTATGGCGCTCTCCGTGACGACCCTTCAGATCGCGCTCTGACACCATCAGTCTGATCTGTTGGTGGACTTCAGCCTGTTTGGCAAACACGGTGTTTGTTCAGTCGTCCGGTTCGTTCTGCAGCAGCAGCCAGACTCTAGTTTCAGACACGGCGTCCTGATGGGGTTTGAAGTTTCACCTGAGGCAGGTGGAGCTCTTTAAGAATCCCTCAGCTGTCTTTTTAAGTCTTTTACAGATTTTTGAGGCAAAAAGTCCCTCTGACTGGTTCTGTCTGGGCTGTTTGTCACACGATCAGCCGACAGGTCGTTGCTGTAAACCTCTGTGCCGCGTTTGTCTTTGTCTCTGATCAAACTGTAAACAAAAGCAGGCGAGGAGACAACAATGGAATCGTTCATGTTTTATAAATACAAGTACGAGTCTTTACTTCGACTCCGGCCTGTGCCCGGGCTCCGTGATTCTCTCTGTACATTTTATACAGCTTTACATGTTACGTTAGTATTTTATTTCCTTCATTCTCTGCGTTTCAGCGTCCTAAATGGCGCCTCCTCGGTCCCCTCCGCCGCCGCCTTCTCCTCCTCCCGGTCCCCTTCGAGTTCTGAAGTCGTGCCAAAGTTTGACGAAAGGTTCTCGGTTCTTCCAGATCAACTCGTGGCCGAACAGAACGTACCAGCTGAGGAGAGAAGAACAAGTCTGATTAAAAACACGTCACCGCAACGTCGTCACAAAACAGAATAAATCAGTTTTCCAAATATCTCAACGTCCAAAACACGTCAGCGAGGAGGCCCTGGTCCCACTGCACCTCCTCGGCGGGCTCCCTTTCTACAGCTCGTGTCTACAGTCTCGCTCTTTTCTTCACTCAGGAACACAAACAGGAAATCGACAGCTTTGTCTTCACACTTCCGCTTCTACCTATTAACCATCTGATCCAGAGAGGTCAAACATAAGTCCCAGGGACCAGAATCGGCCCGGAAAAGACTGCAGTCTGGCCCACCGGATGGCTCTGGAAAATGTCAAGGAAGCCATAAATTTTGTACTTTTAACTGTATTTTCACATTTTACAGCTGTTCCTATGGATACAGACGTCGCCCACGGCCACTCACACTAAACCAACGTGATTAAGTAATTAAGTTCAACAATTAAGTGACAGAAAAGCTGTTTTTTTCCACCATCTAATATAGAAAATTACTGTAAGAAGGTAAAAAAAAAAACTTCTCCGTGAATTAACAAAGAAAATTAAAAATGAACCTTTATAAATAAAAAATCGACTAACTTGCTAACTTACATTCCAAACATGGCTCCTCCTAAATGAGCAGCATGGTCGAAAAACCTCCATCCAAGCACCAGGCCTGCGGTATCCATGGCAACAATGGCCTTGAGAGCCTGCAGACAGACACGGAAACAGAGCGCGAGTTCAGTCAGGCCAAAGCCAGCAGCAGGAGCTGAAGCTCAGGTGGGCTGATGCAGAAGATGAAAAAGAGATCTCTGTCCAGGTAGACTGGGCGAGGAGAGGGGTGGGCGGGGTCTTACGTTGCCAGCGGTGAAGGTGAACATGGGGAGGAAGATGATGGCCAGTTTGGCTTCAGGTATTTTGGTACAAACAGCAGCGAGGACGGTCATGATGGCGCCAGACTGAAAACAGAAACAGGAACTTCAGGCTGTTTATTTATTGAGAACATTTACAGACGTCCACCAAAGAAAATCGCTCAAAAGAATCACATCAGTGTGTTCGCACTGACCTCCTAAAATCTACACGTCCTCTAAAATAAAACCATAAAACAGACGTGACTCTGAGCGAGGTAGTTTGGCCTGTGAAGCAGTCACTCACCGCTCCGAGAGACGGGCCGAACCTCCCCGTGGCCATCTTGCACACATAACTGACAAACGTAGAAATAACACCTGAAAACGGAAGAAATAAAATCAACGTCACACTCATAAACACAGATAATCTCAGAGATTACACCACAGTGAAAAGCACCTGCCGACAGGTACACGGCCATGAACTGCTCCCGGCCCAGCATGGAGACGGCGCTGGTGGAGAAGCTCCAGAGGACGTACATGTTGGCCGCCATGTGGAAGAACGAGAAGTGACTGAAGGCGGAGAGAATCATGGGAGAGCACAGAGTCCCTGCGGGGCAACAACAAACAGCCACAGTTACAGAGGCTCAATCGGAGACCCTGAACGAATCGTGGCGGTGGTGGCGAGACTCACTGGAGGCCGGATTGGCGGTGAAGTATCTGATCATGAAGCGCTGCAGAGACGGCACTCTCCAGCAGCAGAACACGATGGCGTTAGCAGCAATGATCCCTGGGAAAAAAGAAATTCAATCCAGCAACCCCCATGTGAAAGTTCAGCGCTTTGCTCGTAAGCACTGACTCACCTGTTACCGTCCTCTGGCCCTCGCTCAGGCTGTTCCACCATTGGTTGATCTGAAACACAGACAGCCAATTAAGACTCAGATCAAAGTGTGGGCGGAGCCCGGTTACAGGTGATGACGTCGAACCCTCACCTCTTTGCGGATGTCTCCTCGTTTCTGAGGTCGCACCTTCTCCAGCCAATCGGCTCGCAGCTCGTCAAAGTAGCTCTGCACTCGAGACTTGAGGGACTCGTACTGCCAGATGGCCGCCGAGCCGAAGGAGCAGCCTGTAAACTGACATGGAGTCAACACCTGTCCGTGACATCATCAGTGGCGTCATCGCCACCGAAACAACATCACCTACCCCGATGGTAAAGACGAGCGGCCTGACGAGCCGGCCGAAGGCGCGTGGGGGACTGGGTGGAGCTTGATGGTCCCAGTGAGGAGCGGGGGTCCGGCGCTGTGCCGCGGCTTCAGAGGATTCGCTGTGGGCGGGGCCCAACTCCTCTTCCACCTTCTTGGACTCGGGTTTCCTTGCAGCTTTCCTGAAGCCGCATCTCTGCTGGAAGCTTTGAGGCCACCTGGTGGACAGACGAGGAATCACAACTGTGAGAAAAAAGTTCTCTTTAATGAAGCGCCAGCATCCTCCCGCCACGACCACAGACAGGAAGCACAACAACAAAAAATGTTGTTTCCTGTCAAAAGGCAAAAATAATTAAATGAAAAAATCATTAATAAATAACCAAAGGAACAAAGTTGTATCGAAGAATCTAGATTTATTACTGACGCTCCACACACACAGGAAAGGCAATGGTAATTTCTGGAGATTTGATTGGTCAGTAGGTGGTGAGCAGGTTGTGTTCACAGCACAAGTTACCATGGTGAACTCCTGCTTCGCAGTACAGACTTCTGCCAAGGACCCGACTCAATTCATCTTCCTGTGATTAGATAAAACCTTCCCGCTGAGAGTGGGTGCGCTTTCTTTTTATCATGACTGCAAATGCACCAGTGTGTCAGAGTATAAACATCCTGCCAACCTTTTAATTATCTAAGGATTAGCTGCTGTCTCCTTTTACCAGCCGGCCTCAGACTGAGCAACAATCCCAAAAACATTTTTACCACAAACGTCTGGTTTTATGTCACTGAATCCATTTAGTAACTTTTGGTCACTGGAAGGGTCCGAGTGGACTGCTTGTCGATTATAAATAAAGCAGCACAGGTCAGCTGGCCACAGGAGATTAACCCCTGGGTTTTAGGGCACCTACGGAAGCAGCGTCCCTCTGCACTGAGCCGGAGGGAGGACCTGAAAGAGCTTCGGAAGAACTGCATGTAATGGGCGTGTATGTAAGGGGGCACACTGGGGTGTTTAAATAGGACAAACAGCTTTACATCACCGGATAATTAGATAAACACACAAACACACTCAGGCAGCTCCCCGCTTGTTAGCAGCGGCTAACGTTAACCTGCTAACAGCCCGTTGATTCTAAACTGTCCTTGAAGCTAACGGAGCTAACTCCGGCAGCAAGGATCTGTCTGTTTGTAACCCGGGACGGGCTGCTCGCCACCGCCTGTGGGGACTGACCTGCCACCCCTCACGGAGCTCCGTAAGCCTTCATCTCCGGTCAGTCTGAGCAGGACGGAGCAGCTCCTCCACGCCATATTGGATCCCGGTGACCCCGACAGGTCGGCCGAAGGGCCGCCTAGCAGTTGTTCATTTCCGGGTCACCAAGGAGCTCCGGCACCGTCAGCGACGCCCGCAGGACAGAGGCGGATACTGCACACAATTGAATCAACAAAATAAAATCCTCAACACGAAGCACAACATCCGCCTGTGACCTTCAAAGTAAAACGCTGCCAAAGTCAATACAACGAAATTTGATATTTATTTTCAGAGTGAAACACAAAAAATGCAAATGAGTGTCAGAGGAATAATGAAAAAGTGTTCTGGTACTAATTTTTAAGAACAAGGTATGAAGATGAAGATATGAGAAAGAGTGGTTGAGAAGAAGAGAAATGGCGATCACTGAGGTGCAGTGTACTTTAAGAGTGTTGATGGAGAAGTATAGAGAAGGTCAGAAGGTGATGAACTGTGGATCTTTGTGGTCTTTGTGGATCTACAGAAAGTATGTGATGAGAGTATGGAGCAGGTGGATGAGACTGTAGAAGAGAAGAAGAATGAAAGTAAATAGAAGCAATGAGCAGGAGAAAGGTGGAAAGGTGAAGAGAAGTATTGAAGATAGATACCCGGGAGTCAACCACCCAAAGGAAGGGACAGTGCACAGGAGAGGTGGTAGAAGTAGAGATTGCAGGCAGGGTGGAGTGAAAGGAGACAAGTGTCTGATATGACCGATACTTACGACAGAAAAATAGCACCAAGAGTGAAAGAGAAGGTTCAAAAGATGATAGTGAGACCTGCTGTGATGCATGGTTTGGAGATGGATGTTGAAGGTGGAGCTGCCAGAAGGAAAACAGAAAAACCTCTGAGGTGATCCATGAATACAGTGGAAGACATGGGGTTGGTGTGACAGAGGAGGGTGCTGGGATAGGTGGGTGGGTGAGATGGAAGCAGATGGTGAACGCTGATAATAATATAATATAATATAATATAATATAATATAATATAATATAATATAATATAATATAATATAATTAGGGGGCATTTATTTTGAAAGCGCTGAGTGGCGGAAGCGGGGCAGGTTTCCGGTGCTTGTGTTCACTGTGGAGTGGCTCGGTTCGGTTCGGTCCGCGACAGAGGAGCAGCTGCAGCGTGGGCAGTGCAGAACCAGCGTGTGACCGCGGAGGAACCATGGCGGCCCCTGCTCTCTCCGGCCGGGCTGGCTCGTCGGGCAGCCTCGGGAACAGCCCCACCATGGCCGCCGGGAGGCTGCCGCACGGCGGCGGGCCCGAGCTGGACTTCAGGTCGGCGGCCCGCATGGAGGACCTGAACCGGCTCATCCAGGAGTTCAGCAAGCACGACCAGCGGGAGTACGACGACCAGCGGGCTCTGGAGATCCACACGGCCAAGGACTTCATCTTCTCCATGCTGGGTGAGGACACGCACGCACCCACGCGCACACACACACACACGCACACACCAGGCTGCGGTAAACATCCTCGGACTCCACCTGATTATTTCAGCTGGTGTGAGCGCGGAGCTGCAGGGGTGATCCAGATGTGCTGCAGAGGCTCAGGTGATGCACATCTGCTCCACCTGGACCGCATTAGGGATCGCATGCATCCTCTTAGCCTCTCTTCTTCTCGTTTCTTGGTTTAAAACGAACATAAAAGTGTAGCTGAGCTTCTCCAGGTGCTGCACAAATACGGAAATACTAAACACAGACGACACTAACACCACCCTCAGTGCAAGGTGAAGCCCACTACAATCTCAGCCTCATCCACACCTTCAAATATATTAAAAAAAAACAAATCTTCACTAATATTAAACTTCCAGCTGTGAGGACTCCGACCAGCAGGTGTTTTTTCCGCACATAGCGCATCAGTGAGGAACAAATGTGCTCAAATATATTTAAAATTGTCAGATTAAATTCTGCCAAATTAGTTGTCCGAATTTCTTTTACAGCGAGAAATAAATCATCCGTTTTTTCCCCAAACATCACCCCGTGGGGCAAATGAAAAGATTCCAGTTCCTCTGATGTCCAGCAGAGGCAGCAGTGAGTCAGTCCCCATAGACTCCCATGTTAAAACTGTACAGCAGAAATAAACATGATTGCAGCCTGATACACAAATTGTTTGTCTCTGTGGATAATGTCCTCCTTCGTAACATCTGTACAGTAGAAGAAAGTTTTTAGGATTCACCTGGTTAAACTGTAATAAGGCTTAAAGTTTGTATGATTAGGGGCGTGGCCTCTTTGACTGATGGGTGGATGATGACACAGGTGGCTGTAGCTGCTAGCTGACTGCTCAGCTTCACCTGAACTGGACCTCTGGACCGTGTTTGTGCTGTTGGAGCCTTTTGGAACATTTTCAATGTGTCACGTGACCAATAACATGGCTGCTGTGAGGTTACTGTAGTAACAGCTCATCCACGAAGGCGGAGCTCCGGTCCTGCTAGGGGAAATTCTTGGATTTTAGCATGTAGGATTTCTGCGGCACAACCAGGAAACTGATTTGTTCTGTGCACATGTGTGGAAATTATTTTATTTTATTCCCAATATTGGTGCAGGATTTGGAAAAATGAACTGTGTGAGGGGACGACGCATCTGTTGACCTTTGTGTTGAGCACTCTCTTTGATTGGTTGGTGATTTCAGTGCATGTGTACAAGCTGGCGCGCCGCGCTGAGCTGATGTCAGATGATTTGCGTCAGCGTCCTCCGTCTCATTTTTCTGGCCTTCGTGCTTTGATTATCCTGCAGTTTGCTGTGTGTTTGCAGGTGGCTGAATAATTTAGTTGTGTTGCTTTGTGGTGCAGACGCACAACACTCCTTGTGTATGCGTGTTTAGTTCACATCACTCGTGCTAAATCTGACTCTCTTAGAGGAGCTCCTCAGCTTCTGCCGTGCTGAATATTGTCTCGATGGCCTGTATGAGGTCACTGCGGTCAGGTGCAGGGAGGAGCTGTGATTGGCTCATGCAGGTGCGTGCTCAGTGCTCATTTAAGGAGCTCTTGATTCTGATGGTGGAGCATTCACTTTCTGTATCGCTCGATGATGTTCGTTAGAACATGGGCACGAAAATCCAGATTAAAATCCAATGAATCGCTCCGCACAGTGTTTGTTTTTGTTTATTTATTCAAGAGTTTGTTTACAAACAGTTGACAGAGTTTGATAATAAAGACAATTATTTTCATTAGATATTTCTGTATACTCTGTTTGTATTAACATTTACTTTTTTTTATTAAATGATGATCTAATGTTTGACTTTGTTTCTCTGTAACATTTGAAGCGTTTGATCAGAAATAACATTTTACTTTATTACGTTGACCTTTGAATTTATTTGAATTGCTCTACAGCACATTTGTTGTGTTTAGCATTTTGAAGATATGCCAAGATATAAATGGTAAATATGTCTTCACATTTCACTTAGGAGAAAAAATGAACCTCACACAGCTTTAATATCTGACATAAATCAGGAATTACAAGGTTATAATTAAAATTTTGAAGGCGGTGGGGCCCTAACCTTTCAAAATAAAAGGCCACAAATCTGCTGAGAGGACTCAGCTCATCATAACTGAACCTGAGAGGAAGTGCGGAGGATGGAGTGCAGGAATGCGAGTTTGATAATGACGCTGGAGCGCCTCCAAGATCTGGATGTAAAAAGACTCTCTCACACACACACACACACACACACACACACACACACACACAGACTGAGACAAACACAAAGACAGAATCACACACACAAACTGCAGAAATGTCCATCTGACAGAGCCGCACACTCACTTTAGTGTTCATTTTCTCAGATGTACTGACAGTCTGCCAGCTCGCACACGGCGCCTCCTCACAGAAATAACAAGCGTTCCAAAATGTCCCGACAGGAAGCGGCGCTCCATCCTGTCTTCACAGCTCGCTCACTGTTTGCAGCTCACAGACAGACCAAAAGAAAGGCGATGAGGCGGTTTTATGCTCCAGATTTAATCAATCCAATCAATAAAAAAGGAAAATCAGTCAGGAATTATAAAGTGAGTGTGAGACGTTCATTCAAAGACAGTGTGTATTTGCAGGATCGTCTCTGTACCGAGGTAACGAGCAGCCCCCGAGCTGAGTTCATCTGATTTATTTGAAACTGTTTCTGAGAGACGGACTGCGTGCGTCCAAACAACCGCAGCGCAGGAATGCGGCCGACAGCCAGGAAGTGTGTGCGCCTCTTCTTTAAACTCAGCAGAGCGGAAAACTCGTCCAGGCCGGCCCGGCCCGACCGATGGGGCTGAACGCAGTGACCCGTCGGGGCTCACGCGGTCCGCTTCCAAACACGGCGAGCTTCAAAAAATAGACCTGACATGAAAGGAACTGGAAAACAGGAGGGCCAAACTGGACCCGATCCAGACTGAGCTGGACACAAACGAAGCAGACTTCGTTAAAAGCTCACCTTAACGTCAGCCTCGTCTGTGACAGCAAAAACCAGACTGGACGAATCAGCAGAGCCGCCGGTCAACGTTAAAGAATTAAATTACAGCAGGGAGAAGCTTTTAAATCGATGTTAGTCGAACTTTATCCAGATACGAATGAGTTGCTTCTGACGTCCATCTATCTTGTAAGCAGACGTGCCCGGACCTGCCCTCCTCGGCCACGACCTGCAGCTCATCTGGAGGAACGTTGCGTCGTTCCGCCAATCAGTCAAGAGATTGGATCTCTGCAGTGCATCCTGGGGGTTCCTCGGGGTCTCCTCCCAGGTCCACATTCCTGAGGTCAGCCACAGCCATCCTGGTCAGATACTGAACCCGCTCAGCTGGCTGTAAGACGAGTATCTCGAGGCCTAAATCCTGACCCCCGGTTACACTTGTGTGCACGATGTTATACCTCGGCTCCATAGGTTAGGAACGTGGTGGTGCTCATTTTTACACATAATCTTTATCTGTCCTCTGTTTCAGGAATGGTCCAGAAGTTGGACCAGAAGCTCCCCGTGGCCAACGAGTACCTCCTCCTGTCAGGAGGCGTTCGGGAGGGCGTGGTGGACATGGACCTGGACGAGCTGAGCGTCTACGCCCGCGGCACAGACTACGACATGGACTTCACCCTGCTGGTCCCTGCGCTCAAACTCCACGACCGCAACCAGCCAGTGACCCTGGACATGAGACACTCGGCGCTGGGCCACTCCTGGCTCAGCCTCC